GGGCAATCTAGTGTTAAAAACCCACGACTGCCGATTTTTATGCAAAATCTTATTTTGTGAAACATATTTTAACAAGTCTAATCTGTTTGTACAGAATTCACGTCTTTTTATGTACAGACGTATTTTTTATATTTGCATAAAAATCTGCTAAGAAAATAATTTGGAAAGACGATAGTTGGAGCGTCGTTTGGCGTGTTGCAGTAACTCGGTGCGTCTGGCGATACGCAAGATCATGTACGCGCCTTCTAAACAAGGCGAACAGCCTTCGGTGGAGGTGAGCAAAGAGTTCGTAATGTCTCCGAACAAGCTTCACCTGGAAGCGTCCCTCGACAAGGAGCTGTACCACCACGGCGAGAACATCGCGGTGAACGTGCACATAGCCAACAACAGTAACCGGACGGTGAAGAAGATCAAAGTGTCCGTGAGGCAGTTCGCGGACATCTGCCTGTTCTCCACCGCCCAGTACAAGTGCACGGTCGCAGAGGCCGAGAGCGAGTGAGTATCATTCAATACACGGCCATTATTCAACGTTGACACGGGCGAATCGCAACGAATGAGTATCAAAGTGAACGAGAAAGTTTGCGACATTGATGTCTACATTGTCCGGTTGAGATAAAACTTTCGTCGCGCGTCGGAGAAAATTTTAAACGCAAGATTTATTACCGTTTTTAAAAGAAATTTCGATAGCCATTTGTCACGATGTTTTCATAGACGCAATAATAGAGACTCGAACTGTTGTCGATCGGACGGGAGACCGATTCTGGGACGATTTATCTCGCGCGTTTGTTCGATATCCTTAAATAGAAGCTGAATGTTCTGTACTGTAGCGTAGCGGTTAGCGAGGAAATTTATCGGTAACGCAATCTACGGCGTGACCAAGCTACTCGTGATCTATAGACGGTAGGAAGACGTAAATAGCGACGGGTTGCAATAAATTTCGATCGAACGCGAAAATGTACACCGCGTAATGCGTGACAACGGCGCGTTCAGAACGGGACCAACGCCGAATTCTAATTCTGTCCCAAGTTTTCTTAAACATCAGACGAGTAGAGAGTCTGTCCGACAGACACACCCACACGTCCCTGTTAGTATACAGCTAGGTGTTACACGATAAATCCTCAACGGAATTGTTACATGACGAAACGCAAAATAAGATGATTACACTGGCAGTATAGGGGTAGCGCCAGGATTCACCCTGAGCAAGGTGTTTTCTCTAAGGCCGACGCTTGCTGACAACAAAGACAAGCGAGGTCTTGCTCTAGACGGTCAACTTAAGCACGAGGACACCAATCTCGCATCTAGCACAATGTGAGTGCTCATACATTGGCCGGGTACTATTTTTCAAAGCGAACGTTCGCGACCCGACGCTGGAAACGTTCCAGGAAACCTCGGACTTCTTTCTAGCTTGACACATCGCTGGTAAACATTTTCCGCTTTTTTTTTTTAAAGGTCAAGACTCTCCGTTGACTCGAGTCGAACTGCGCGACGACACGTAGCTTTAATTGCGGCAGTCCTCGCGAACGATCGCATTGTGAAAAGAAAGTTCGATTAAAATATTGTATGGGAAACACTGTCTCAAAGCGGAATGCGAGTATCTCCCTTCATCGCCTTTTTTGCTGGGGAATTTTTTACGGATATGGGATCTATCGGTGGTGGTCTTATTTTCCTGTACAAAGGTCACGTCCCTCTTTCTCCCCCCCCCCCGTCTCCCCTCGTCCATTTTAGTCGTCCTCGATCGGTCTGTGTCTTTCTTCACAATTGATATGCTGGAACCCACGAGAATTCTTCCCCAATTCCTATCTCATTCCTAGCTCATCTCGACCCGTCCCATACGGTCCATGTAGTCTGTATTGCAGTGTGACGCACAAGCTGAATTTTCGTGTTTTACACGTACACACATAGAGACACACGAACACGCGATGATTAGTTCATTATAGTCGTCATGTCCAATAGCTTATCATCATCGCCATGTATCGTCCTGTCGAGATCGAAGCCGACGTGAGTCTCCCGTGATCGAGCTTTCGGTCTCCGGGAAGCTTTAATATCAAAGGGGACGACGGATATCGTTTCGATGATATCGCGATCACGGTTTTTCCGACGTACTACGTACACGTCCATGCCAAGGTTTTATTGCAGTTTTTCCTATTTCCGGCGGAGCCAGTAAATTGTTGCTTTTAGAGAACGCTACGTACTTCATGCCAGATTTCATTTGTCTCTACATCGATTTTATACCAGAATTGTTATCAAAAGCAGTGACAGCGAGACCCGATCAATTCTATTAGTGAAAAAAACCAATTAAAAACATGAAAAGAATTTATCGTTAACGCGAACCAATTATTTAATTAAATCGACCGACACACAGACACGAATTGTATCGAGGATCAAAGAGCGACGTCGACGTTTATCAGATAACGGTTCGAAATTACGATGGAGAGAAACGCGTGGGAAAAAAAAAAAAAAAAAAAAAAAACGGATTTCGTGCTTAAGTTGAGGGTGAAAGCTTTTTCACAAATTTCTATTACGGGCCCTGTGGCACAGTTTAGCCTCATCGTTTTGCTGAATGTTTGTCAGGGAGGGGTGCCCGGTGGGGCCAGGTTTCACGCTGAGCAAAGTGTTCTTTCTGACACCGCTTCTCGCCAACAACAAAGATAAATGGGGCCTGGCCCTCGATGGCCAGATCAAAGACGAGGACACCAATCTGGCGTCCAGCACCCTGTAAGACAAACTGCTGCTTCTTGATAAACAACACGCCTGAATATATATATATATATATACATGTATATATATGTATATTTTGTTACATATTCGCAGGACTGCTCAAAATTTTGGGTACCGTCGTTTGCGGGAAAATAGAATATTAACAGGAATTTTCAGTAGTATAAGTGATCAATGGACTGTGGATTCTACGCATTTATATATATATATAAAAAATAAATAAAGAACGCATGTAACGTGCAAGAATATGCATTGATACATGTGAAAGGGTTTTCTTAAATTGTATAAAAATCTGCAGTCTGGCGATCGTCATCCGTGATAAATGCTGACCATGTATTTAACGTCTGACTACGTGCAGTCCTATTCTACTTGCTCGAATTCTATCACCGTTACAGCCCAAACTTTTGATCGACACTGTGAGTGTACGTGCCTCTGTTTCTCTCTGTCTCTCTCTCTCTCTCTCTCTCTCTCTCTATTTTCTCATTCTCTGTTACCACGAGCATCCAAAGGGCTGATCACGCAGGCAATCACGACTTCTCCGTACGCGTGTGTTCGAAATCGCTGTCACAAGCTTTCGAACCGAATCCCCGGTAACGTTGCATCCTGACGGTAAATTGCTGGCAAATGTAATAATCGAATCACTCGAGATTCAGAGATACTTGGGTATCAAATTTCGCGTCCATAGTTGGTTTCAAATATGGATTGGTCGCAACGTTCCCAGTGATCGTATCCCAGGGTTTTAAATAGCCTGTGGCTGTTATATCCAAACCGTATCGATCGATCCTCGAGCCCTTAACGTCGCGGGACAACGTAAACGTTGCGCCGTTTCATCGAATCGTTAGGAGAACAATTTTCATCCGTTGCTTTTAACAGCAAACATAAAAGTCTCTCGGTCCTTTGTCTCTTTTAACATTGCAGACGTTACGAGAGCCTCAAATTGAGCAGCTAGACCGTTTTATATTTCCCTTTGAAACTCGTCCGAGAAAAGCTTTGAACCATCCGCGGAGTTTGCTGGCCCTCGCGCCACGGTAAACCGTGTCCATTATTTGTAAACCCAAGTACCAGCAGCGTCGCAGTTTAGTGGTTTCATTGATGCCTCGGGATACATCGATTAATTTTAAACGGCTCGTGATACGTTCCGTCGGCTGAATTTAAAATCAATTTTCACCGACTTTTACATCGGTCGATTCTACATTTTTTAAAAGCAATCTTCACGAGCACACGTGTCGTGTATCCATTGACGTGTTCGTCTCGTTAAAAATTTTTATTACATTTCAAGGACAATTAAATCAACCGATCTATTTTACAAATATTCTACATTTTTTTCGAGCGACCGTGCGTTTTGTTAAAAATTGTTGAAAAAAAATTAAATCAATCGACTGACTTCTTCCACCATTGATTCTACATTTTTTTTAACAGCAACCCTTCGAGGATCGATCGATGGATTCGTGAAAAATTATTGTTACGTCGATAGTTGGAAGTATTTTAACAGAAGAATTATCTTGAACAATTGTAATTGAAGGTTTCAGCTAGTTTAACCGACTCGAGGAAGCGAGATTTCGTGATTCCTTTGCCGCTCACTGCAGTTATTTTGCACAAGTGTTTTACCAGAAATAGCAACGCGTTGTCTGCCCGCACATGTTTTTCCGGTGGCGTACAACAGAGGCGGACAATAACGCGCATACACACGTTATTTCTTTCACGAACCCGGACTGGATTCGATCCCTGAGTTTTGCTCGGCCACGGAAACGGGGGTACAATTACGTATGCTTCCGGTAGGAGAGCGAAATTGCCACGAAGTATGCACGAGAGATTCGCGTCGCTTTCGAAGCTCGCCGATTATCATGTTTTACGGAATTAATGAGAGGAGCGCATCAAAATAAGGTCGGTTTTAAAACCACTCTGGCTCGTTCACAAAATTATGAAAGATTCATCCCGCGGGCACCGTCTATTTTTTTTTCTCTCGCCAAAGTAAATCCGAGTAAATGACCATTAAAAATTCTATGATTTATCAACGGCTCTTTTCACCGCGTCGAGAACGATCGCATATTTTCCTTTGAATAATTTCATACCGCTTTTAGTATTCATTTCATTTTTTCTCCCTGCATTCTGTTGTTTCAATAAATGATAGTAGCGTGGAAATTGATGGGAAGCCATCAAGCCACGTTGATTACATATAATTACAATTGATAATCCGCGGGAATTCTTAGAAACGACAGGCGAGAAGTCGTGAGACAGCGTGCGTCGTCTTTTACCTTTTGTTCGAAAAACTGGTTAAGGATTGGTAACGTTCATCAGAGACTGGGCGAAATTTAGGCGTTGCATTCGGCTGCTTCATTAGAGCATTAGTGCGTAACTCTAGACACGATATCATCACGCTGCATCACGCTGCATCACGCGGACAAACGTTACGCTCAGATTGAATCGATCACGGACCGTAGATCATCTTTTTCAGAACCTAGATAACGCATTAGAGATCCGATCTTGCTTCGTCACCACTGCTATGCAAATCCTAACAAACGGACGCGATTGAATCTGAAGTACTTTCATTATTAATTCTATTAGAAATTCACTGACTATAATAATTACACTGCGGATTTGTATATAAAATGTATACAAATTTATGGCATGTTTAAAAATTTTCGATAAATACTGCAATATGTATTTAACATTTTTACACATGGCAATTTTTTATATTTTCTGCAATTACTATTTTTATATAAATGAAAATTCGCAGTTAAATGAAAATATTAAATTGGTACATATGAAAC